ATTCCCGCTTGTGATTCATCTAGGCCAGCATTTCGCATGATGTACTCTGCATATATATTAAATAAGCAAGGCGACAATATACATCCTTGTCGTACTCCTTTTCCTATGCTAAACCAATCAGTTGTTCCATATCCAGTTCTAACTGTCGCTTCTTGGCCCTTATACAGGTTTCTCAAGAGACATGTGAGGTGGTCTGGTACTCCCCTCTCTTTAAGGACCTGCCATAGTTTGTTGTGATCCACACAGTCAAAAGCTTTAGCATAGTCAATGAAGAAGAAGTAGATGTTTTTCTGGTACTCTCTTGCTTTCTCCATAATCCAGCGAATGTTGGCAATTTGATCTCTGGTTCCTCTACCTCTTCGAAACCCAGCTTGTACTTCTGGCAGTTCTCTATCCACGTACTGTTGAAGCCTAGCTTGTAGGATCTTGAGCATGACCTTGCTAGCGTGTGATATGAGTGCAATTGTGCGATAGTTTGAACATGCTTTGAAAGACACTTGGTTTAAAACTAATTCTGGTTAGAATTATACTACATACACATGTAGACATACAGGTTAACCAGAATTCATTCATCTCTCCCAACAAGCTGGGATTCTAAACCAGAGTTTAATGCAGGTTTAGAATCCCAGTTTGTGGTGTGGGGGGGACTAACTCTGTTTAACCAGTGTGCCTGCTTTCTTACACCGTGGTTCTAAAGATGATTTTAGAATTGAGTTTAAAGTAGGGTTCCTTCAGTCTGCTCTGCTTGAAAAAGGAAGGGGAGATGTGCACACATCTATCAATAAGATAGGTTGGTGCACATCCAGGGTTAATATATAAGTAAATACATCTAAGTCCATAGATAAAATGTAGGCTTAATGTGGCATATGAATGCAACGTATTAGCTCACTTTGGCTCATGATTTAAAAACTCCATTAACTTCTGCACGTTAAGGGGGTTTGTCCCTTTTCAAACAATATCCAGGGAGGTGCATGATGTTTAACATGTAAGGTTAGGTGGTCAAATCCGCACTCTGCCATGAAGTCAGCTGGATTTGGCCAGTCACTGGCAAGTGGACTTGTCTTGCAAAGCTGTTGTGAGGATAAAATGGTGGAAAACCGTGTCTGCTCCCCTGAGCTCCTTGAAGAGAGAGCCAAATAACAATGCATAAGGTAGGTTGATCCCCAACTCCTCCCTCCCTCTTTCTGAACTGCAGCCTCATGTCTAATGGTTTTTGAAACAGAGTGGAGTTTCAAAGGGAATTTACAGTATTGCAGGGCATCTCTGATATACAAAGAACCAAGAAAAACAATCCTGTAGAGGCAGCCTCAAGTGTATGATTGGACCCTCTTACCATAGCATTTATTACATCTGTAGCAGTAAAAAAAGCAGGCATCACCAGTGAACTGTGGTAAATTTTAAACAGACATTGAATTGTTACAGAATTAATGTAACTTGGTGTAGAAAAGCTCTGCATATATTTACTATTTGGAAACACATTTGTGCTAATGAACTATATGGTATGTGATAGGTGTGTAATACTAGAAACATAAGCATTGTTATAGAAATGACTGATATTTTCATAAGTGTTTTAAGGTGATGAGGTAAAGTTTGAGCAAACATCACAAAAAAAACCCCCCCCCCCCCCCGCTCTGGGAGAACAGCACAGTGGTTGCATGACTGCTTCATTCCAGACTTGCTTCCCAGGCTTCCCACTCCAAACTACACTGTCAGCCTACCTTTCAGTTTTGTAGCGATAAGATGAATCTGTGCTGTGATGATATAATTGTATAACTGTGAGTAAAATCCTCACCTCAGAATGGTTGTGAAAATCAGTCCCAAGCCTGCAGTTGTTAATGTACTTTTCAGGCATTTTTTAAAAAAATTGTGGAAAACCAATGTGTTTAGGACTGAAAGCTAACCTCCCATTGTTTTTCAAGTAAGTGACATTCCTAGATTTTGCAAAGTGTTCATTAATAGCATTAAGGGTTATAATTGTTACTAGGAATATAATCCTAATCATTGTTGCTGGTGGTTTAATAGTAAAATATGCTTGCCCTAATGTCACTGTCTCATTAAGCAGGAAAATCAATTTAAATAGGCCAATGAAAGAGGTTATGCGCCATTAAAGAAAAATGCAGAAGAATAATTGGATTTATACATTATACATCAAGCTTTGACTGAAGGCACTATGTTATCTTGAAAAGAATATTTTGTATATGAAAAGTAAGAGATTATATCTTTGTTTTAATTATCTTAATTCACTAAAAGTTAATAAAACAGAGAAGAATGTATTAAAATGTAATACAGGAAAAAACTCCTTTATAATAATGGTTGTGAAACCTCTTAATTGGGGTTCTGTCACTTGGGACAACAATGCTAATTTTAGTTACTTACCCTACATTCTACTTTACTGTGGAAGGCTGCTATGCGGTGCACTAACAAGGGATCGATTGTGAGCATTACAAAGCAAGTAATGAATTACACCTTGATTCTAAAAACTTACTTGTAAGTAAAGTGAGTGACTTGGATTCAGTGGTAGTAGAAACATGAGCATTTAAAAATTGTTTTAGACTTCAAATTTGTTACAAGCATGCTCTAAAGCTGTTCCATTTTCCTCAGTGAACTCACTGAGGCTAATTTAGAACAAGCATTTTCAGTTATTTACCAGTCATCTTAAAAATGAAATGCTTTGAAAAGAAGCCCTGATAACATTTTAATTACCTGGTCTTCCTTTCAGATAAAT